AATGAATCAGATAGTCAAGTAACCTTCCTGGAAAAGAGAAGAAAGTGCTGAGCTTCAGCACTTACTTAATATAAAGGTTGAAAAGAATATTTTCAGGAGCTCAGCTAAAATATTTCAAAGAATGCATTATGTGTGACTATTTGGATCCTATTTACATACCGTGACAAAGTAAGCATAAAAAGCAAAATATGAGTATGGTAATGAGTCCTGAAAGCTTTTAATTTTTATGTTTCTTACAGCATTCACCTCCTAAATAACATGCCTCTGGAAACTCTGAATTTTGATAAAAGTCAATAGTTGTAGAGGGGCTTCAGTTTGTTCATAGAGTTGCTATGAGTCGTGCTCAATTCTAAGACAATCAACAACAACAACATAGAAATTAGCAATCCTAATATTCCAGGCTAGGCCAAACAAAACAAATGAATGCTCAAATCAAATTTACCATATTGGAAACCACTAGTAGAAGATTAGTAACATCAGGTTGCCAAGTGAAAAGTTGATGGTTCGAATGCACCATATGTTCTGTGGGAGATAGAGAGGCAGTCTCCTTCCATAAAGATTTACAGCCCAGTAAATTGGAGAATTACTATCTGATGGACAGAAGTGCATTAAAATAGAAATAATAAGATATCTTAGATGGTATCTACTTAAAGTGAAACATGAGCTTCACCAATTAACTAGGAACATAGATGACCCCAAAACTTGCATTTGAACAAGGAAAAAAAGTTAAACTTATTCTCTTATACCAAAAATATCACACTCATGATCACTAAACCATACCTCTAAAGAGTAACAGTCACTGATTACCTCCCTCTTAAAACTAGCCCTTGACCTATAGAAAAAACACTCAAACTCTGTGCCATCCTGTAGAAATAACACTCATAACTGACCCTCTATTGGTTTTCTAACGCTGTTAAGTATGGGAGGAGACTGCCCATTTTTTTTCCAAGAAGCCATTGGTGGATTTGAACCACCAGAAAGGTGAGGCCTTTGGATTACCAGTGCAACTTTGAATAACTAGGCCACCAAAGCTCTGGGAGACAAAAATGAATTGTTAAATCTCTTAGAGCTTTGTTTCTATGACATATAAATAAAAGGTTGTGCTAACAATTAAAAGAAATTTTTAAATAAAAACTCACAAATGCTCTGCTAGAGGGGAGGGCCAATTTCCTCCTGTACCAGTCAGATTAGATATGACGGTATACACACACAAAATAATGAAAAAAAAAAGAAATTAAAAAAATAAAAGCTCAGCATATAATGTAAAGTTGTAATGTGGGAGAAGTATGGGCAATCTCTTCCTGCGTGATTAAATGACTCTGGAAACCCGCCAAAGGGTCAGTTATGGATCAGTTCTGACTCTATGGTACACAACAACAATGTACTTATACATTTATTTATGAACAAAACAAAAAGAGCAGCAAAAACCTAACACTTTCCTATAACCCAATAAATAAGCTTAAATAATGTTTAAAACATTTGTTTAAATTACAAAATAAGAAAAAGGGGCAAAAACTGTAAGAACACTGCTTAACTAACAAGTGATAAAAGCTTCACCTTAGGGGAGCTCTGGTGGCCTAGTGGCAAGGAGCTGCAACCACAATCCCAGAGGCGCACGGTTCAAATCCACCAGATGCTCTGCCGGGGAAGGAGGGACAATCTCCTCCTGTACCAGTCAGATCTGATTTGACGGTGCACACACACACACACACACACACAA